TATAATGCCACCATTAAGATCTGAAAACTGTATACACTTCAGAAAAGTTGCTTTCCAGTGAACAGTATTTTTTTAATAATAAATTTCCAATTTCTTGAATGGCCATATTATCATTAAGGTTATTTTTACACAACTGTAGTGCATTCATAATTTGTAAAATAAATTTTGGTGACAATATTTCAGAAAGAATTGTCTAATAAATTATTACATTTTTGTATTAATTTAGTTCCCTTAGCATGGATTACAAAATGATATTCTAAAAAAACAAATCAATCTTTTACATTCGTTATGCCAATACCCCGATATTTTATTTGTACTAAAATATATCTGAAACATAGTAATAAACATTCACTTTAAAATATTCTTCATGGGATGAAAATTTATGATGTGTCAAAAACTCATTAAAACGACATTTTATTTTATTTTGTTTCTTAGATATTCGTGATTGCTGTGGCTTCAATTTAGCTTCTAATTTTAAGTAATATCTCATTTGTCAGCCATTTGTTTCGATTCTGCTAAAATAAGTTCAAATTTATTTTGTAGTTCTTTTGTATTTATGCAGACATTATTTAAACATAGCATAGCTTCTTCTAGACATATATTAGTTTTCCATAATATTTTTTAAACACAATTTATTTCATTTAATACTTAATGCATACATATACAAATAGTAATAAGTTCAAAATTTGTTATTTTTTTTTAATCTGTGTTTTTTTATTCCTCCTTTTAAAATGAATTGCAACTAAAACTTTCAGAATGTGACTATATCGCAGTTTTACTACATTCAGCTAGGTAAGCCTACCTGACCAAGAATCAGGTTTAGTTATTTTAAAGATATTTCTGTTTCAGCTGTAAAATTTTTAATAAATCCCATCAGTTTATATTTTTCCTATAAAATATATTTTGTAATACGTGAAATTTACAACCACATTTGTCATTACTTGTCATTAATGACAAGGTTTATATTATGAGTTGAGCAGTGCACATATTTTGCACTTAAAAACATATCTGCTGGATAGTTTTTATCTTTTACTGGAGGCCATTATAGACAGCATTCATAAGTGCCATCATATCCTTGTCCATAACATATTTTAATCAAAATTTCTTTTCATTCAAGAAAGCTGAGAGTGAGTTTTTTCAATCTTTCAGAAGAATGATATTTTACAGCATAAAATCTGAGAAATTTTTCTTTTATTATATAATTAATGAGTTTTGAATTATCATCTCTTCCAATATAAACGACACTCATTAGATGTGCCTTCAATATATCTTGAGTACTGTCTTATAATAAAGATCAAAAGGGAGATGCATTTATCTAGTTCAGCAAAATATATTCTAAATTATGACCAGCACTTTCAATTAATTCATTTAATATGGAAGGGCTCATGTACTGCACACTTCCTATTGATATATCAAAACCTTGTTTCATAATTGATTTACTTAATAATTTAACCTGTGATAAAAAATTTGCTATTTTAACTAATTTTTATGTCTTTACTACACCCATGAAAAGCTAATGTACTTTTTGACAGGATAAGTGTAATGCTAACCGTGCTGAAGCTATTTTTGAAAAATTTGCCTCAAGGTCAGTTTACACCTGTCAGAGCGGCTCGGAGCGAGTCGCTCGTTACGATTACTTTGACAGTGTAAACGCTCACTTCGACGGAGTAGAAATGTAGGGGAGATGAGTCAGCGCTTCCGTTTCTACTTTGAACCTGTTGAAAAATCTATCCGGGCATTTAGTCCGAGCAGCGTTCGCAGGGACGTCGTGACAGTAAGTTCTATAATGCCGAGATGTAAAGCGATAGCCAAACCATGGCACTTTTTAATGCATACGCATCTTATAAAGTGTTTTAGGGAACACTCACTGCTTCATTAAGATGTTGCATACTTCTATAATTAGTAGTTATATTCGTTTTTCTACAAGCATCCTATGATGATGCAATAAATGATATTATAACCATAAAAATAAAAATGGAATATGAAAAAAATAAATAGATCTGTTTTGTGGATATTTAAAATTCTTGCTTTGTATAAAAGCATTCGGGCTATATCGTACAATTCAGCGGATGTGAACATGTTCAGCTTGGATGTGTGAGTGCAAGTACTGAAGGTGTATTAAGTTTTATACAAATTATACTAGATGAATTCTAATCTTCTTAAACTATCCGTTTTAGCATTTAAAAGTAAAGCATAATCGCTATATTTAATCATTATTAATTTTGTTGATATCAGTTTGTGTATTGTCTAGAAACACAATTTCAGTAGGATCCAAAAGTAACAATTTGCGGTAAATATCTTTCTGTTGGAACTATGTCACAATATGTATATTCTTTTACCTGTGGTAATGTATGTAATGCTCCCAAGTTTTTTGCTACTTATTTACTTAAGATTTTCTGAATAATTAGGTAGATATTATACATTTTACTTCTGCCGTTGCTTTGAATAAATATTTTATGTGTTAATTTGCATTCTTCTCTAGAAATAACACAGTTCCAGTCAGAACTCTGCATAATTAATTACATGCACAGAGCTATTGATTCTGTGAATTCTGGATGAAAAATTATTCTCTTATTAATAAATAATAAAACACATTATTACTTTTACATTATTTAAATATTAATTAGATTTAAATAAACAGTTGTATATAGTAGAAAAAACTTCGTTAATTTGAATTTCAGTAACCACAGTGACTAAATAACTTCTCTCAAAACTGAGTTTCGTTTAAATTCTTCTATCTGATATGCAATAACGTTTTTGTAACTTGGACATTCTCGTCCGAAATTCATTAATAGTTCATTTGATACCTAATTCATCGCGCAAACTAACCCAGTCACGTACCATTTCCTTTTCTTTCTTTTTTTTTTGTCCCCTCGCAAGAGCAGGAATTAATTCGTTTGAAACTGCTTCCCAGACTTCAAGCACTGCAGCCAAAGAACATCTATGTATGTTCAATGCATATTCTTTCCTGCAGCTGCCATGTCGGTATCCATTTCCTAAACAAACAGAGGCGAGTTGTCAGTCCACTCTGATTGGTGTAAACAATCTATCAGAGTACAAGTCCGTTCACTCGGTTCGAAACGCACGGACGAGCGACTCGCTACGAGCGGCTCTGACAGATGTAAACTGGCCTTCAGACCAAATTAGTTCTTTGAGGTCTTTATCAATAGTTAAATATTTTTTCCGTGCCTCATACACAGGACTTGCTTCATGTGATTTTGAAGAACTGTGGTTTTTAATTCTTACCGTTTAATTTTTCCAATCTCTAATACCTGAATGCCAACTACTATCAGAATTAGAAAACAACCAGTAAAGTTTGCATGTAATAATTTCGAGGAACACAACCAAAGTTGTGCCACTTGTCCCTACTTCATCATGGATGCATAATATGCTGCACTGAAATGACTATTTCCTTGTTTAGTACCTTTTGGAAAACAGCCCACAGAGTTTTCTTCCTTTTCATCATAATTAATTAGAAATCTCATATCACCAGTAATATTCTTATCTACTAAATTACCTATATCTGTTGAGTAGAGGGGACTTCAGGCAATAATATAGTTTTTTATTCAAGCTGTTCAACCTTACTGACAGAGACGATATCTACTGAAGAATCTTTTTCTGGGTATGATGTTTTAACAGAATTTTCTAATTTTGGGAGCTGTTTTAATTTCTTATGCCTATTTTTTTTTCTTCAAATGTTGTTTTCCAACTAATAAAGTTGTTCTTACAATTTGCAGAACTAAATATAGTACAAAGATTACTATAGCACATAGCCCCTTAACCATTCTGGTTACCTCTTTTGTCAAATATACATGTACAGTTTAACCTAAATTAGCCTACTTGGTTAGTGACAGCAATTCTAATATACCTTAATACCTACTTATGCTCAAATATACAAATATACAGCAAATATCAAATATACAGCAAAAACAAATACAAAATGACTATCACAAATAGAAACAAGCTAATTTTGGTTAGCAAATGAATTTTATGACAGCACTGCGATGTTGCAGATGAGACAATATGAGTAAATAAAAGAATTCATTATGCAACACTGGAATTAACAACAAACAAAAATAGACTGCTGTGGCTTCAATTTCACTTCTAATTTTTATATTATTCAAAAAGAAATAAAACTATATTAACATAATAATAACATAATTTATTCAAAAATTTTTAAATGATATCTATCCATATAAAATATGAAACTTAGATATGGCAACAGATTTATTAACTTATTACAGTATAAAGTCGGAGATCCAGACCTCAAAGCAATCACCAACATTTTTTATTCAGTTTGTGTGTGTGTGTGCTTTACGCATGCACATTTGACTCACCCCCCCCCCCCCGCATATGTAGAGAGTCCCGATTCTGATTCTTAATTTCTTTTGGCACTAAATAAAATACCTCATTATTGAAGAACCAATTTTAGCATAAATTTGTTTGATCAATAATTTGGCTCCCTAGCTGCATATCTACTTGGCATACATCTCAAACCAAAACATTATACATAGATACATCGCTGATTTGACACCTACTTATATTTTATACCCCTAACAACAACCTGGCGAATCATTATTTATTATATTTTGCTTTCATCATCCCTTATTTATCAACACATGACAACTTGAGTAATGACTCATGTAGTGAGGCCTAAACATTTTTTTTTTATACATATTAGCAATTGAATAACAAAGAATTGTTAAGTAACCTTTTCTGTTGACATTACGCTTGGTGCAGTTTAAAAAAAATATCTCTTCCTGTCTTCAAACATTTAATACGTAATTATTTTAATGACAATAAGCAATTTTCCATGAAAATCATCTGAAACCATTCATCCACATAAACCTAAATTACAGAAATGAAACACATTTCAGTACAAAAATTTTGGCCATGTGGCCATGTTCCAACTAGAATAATCTTCACAAACTGAATTTAAAAGTCTTAAATTCAGAATAAGTTAATATAATATAAAAATAGCAAAATAAAATAATACTTACAAGAGCTTCTCTATCATAAATAAATATATTATTTACAGATGATGTTTGGAGAAATGCTGTTATGCACATGACAATAACAGATGCAGAACGCTCTTTATAGGAGTAACCTTTCAATGAGTTAATCATAATCTGTAAAATCATAAATTTAGTTATTTATTAATGTCATTTTAATAAGTAGTTTCGTGAAAAGTTTATTAGGAAAAAAAGAAATGAATAAAAAATATAAAATAATTTCTAATTTCATAAAAAGAAATATGAAAAGTGTTTACCATCAAGCAACCAAAAAAACTTCCATACACTTTTTTGGGCAAGTCTTAGGCACAGTACATCTATGACACAAAATTATTTATTCACCAAAAGAGCCCAGATTGGAAAACCTTTTTCTAATGTAATTACAGGCTCATCAATATATTCCCAATAAAGTGTCCTATCTTTTTGAAGATGGAAAATTCAGCTACATGCAGTTCTACTCTATGCATCCTCATAAAACTGTGTTGTGCACATAATGTTTTTAGAGCACAAAACAATACACAGATATCTCAGGAATAAGGGCAGTTTCAATTCAAATAGTTGCAAAAACAGTTTTGATTAAGGTTATAAATACATCACAAATTATTTTTTCTGTGTAAGGATTGGTATTATTATGTAAGATTTGCTTCTTTTACTTCTAAAATAATGATGGCTATTTCTGACGGAAGAAAATCTGTATGCGTAAAGTTGTCGAATACAGTCCTCCTTCGGTTTGACCTTGACAAGGAAGTTACTGTATAATATCAACTGCTGCCCATAAAATAAGTTTCTCTAGATAGAGTTGTCCCTTTCAGATCCAGGAATAGCCTTCATTGGCAATAGCCAATGAAGTGCTGTTGATGATGTATTAGACCTATTACTCATATATTAACAAGACATCCAGAAATAATTTATTATAAATATATTATAAATATATATTATAAATATATATATAAATATATTAAAATAAATATTATTATAAAGAAGTGGTAAGAAATGACTTGCAAGTAGATAAGCTCTGAAGTCCATTATCTGTGAGCTTCCAGGGTAGCCATTTACTTAACTTACCTACAGTTTTTGCAGATACAGACATAAAGTTTCAGTGTAAATAAAATTTTTTATATATTTTCAGCTTAAAAGAAATCAAGTTGACTGCTTATTTTTTCCCCTGAATAAACATAAAACATTCTAAAAATGTTGTATTCTAAAATCAATATTTACTTAGCAATTTTAATTAAATACATATTAAGTAAGAAAAAGCTTACTTTGGAAGAAGTACTTTTTAGTAATATAAAATTGCCAGAAGGCTTGTTGTTTTCATCATTTAAAATACCAAGCAAGCTGCTCCACAAACTTAAACACTGTGATGAAATTGTACTGTAAAAGAAAAAAATAAATATTATATCTAGTTGTAATACTGAATTTAATCTGTATATGTTGATATATAATCCCATAAATCTTATACAAATGCATAAATAATGTTATACAAAAAATAAATAAATAAATAAATAAACTATTTGTACACACATTTCATATTTTAAACAAGAAAAGTATTCTAAAGAATACATACATATTGAGTCGTCTCATCACAAACGCAACTTCTTCTTATTAGCATTTATACAGTTATACTGCAATTTAATAACGTATTGATCTGAGCAATTTCAGCCAGCCACTTCAACAGCTTATTGGCATTTAAAAGATAGTATATGGATTAAAATAAATGTAACAAAAAGAGCATGCCAAAGAACTAAATGTTAAGTAACATACGTTAAAAAACAAAGAATCAGCATAATGTGAGTAAAGTTGCAAGACTTTAATTTTGAAGGTTAAACAAAACTTTTTTTTTTTTTTTTTTTTTTTTAACAGAAGAGTTAAAAGTATGGGAAAAAAAAAAGAGAGACCAACTACATTAGAACAAAGAGAAATTCAAAAATATTCTAGCTGAATGATAGTACAGATGTTCAACTGCTGATAAGAAGAGCTATTAGCAATACTAAAAACAGAATAATTGGCAATACCTAATAGTATAGAGGAGTCATGTTGGATGGGTTCATAAATGAGTCCTTTATAGTGTAACAATAATTTATTAACAAGTTTAAGTTACAGATGGACACCACATATAATTTTTAAAATCTTACAAAGCAAGAGTCTGATACAACCTAACAGGTTCATCACCTGGTCTTTATTGAAGTCTTTCTCTAGCTACTCACCAGAGGGCACCCTTGTTGCTAGAGTGAGTCAACCACGGTTTACATTAACAGGAGCGGTTACAATAGCAGTATTTAATGTGATGCTCAAGAGTTCCACCAGACAAGAGGAAAAAGACTCAACCATAAACTGAATATTACAGTACATAAAAGACATATTATTTACACTATTTTTCAAAAGAAATAAACAATTAAACATTAAAATATATTTCTCCATATTACTGTCCTTGATCTGATACAGTCCACTTTGTTGCACATTTTGCTGCAGCCAGTATTCTGCAAAAATAAAAAATAAAGCAATTTGTTGCCAAAAAAAAAAGTACTTTTCTGTTATTAGGACCAGATTCAGAAATGTATGTATATATGCATGTTAGTATGTGTTCATATACGCATGTACATATGTATGTATGTGTGTGTAAACAGATATATATGCACATATATACACACACTGCATACACACATACATATGCATATCCTGGTCCCGATAACAGAAGATTACCTAAAAAATTATGACATCGCCTTCGAAGTTGATTTTATTTTCCTATAGTTTAGGTGCTTGTCTATTCGACTGCACCTGCCATCCGCAGTCATCATGTGTGTCATGAACAAATGAAAAAACACAAAATATGATTTTCTGACAATTTTGAAGCAAATACACATGCCCATTCTTTGCTATATTTCTCAAGAATGGTTTGACGTTTTGAAAGTGACATATTAAGAGTATTTATCACAAGATTTTTATAATAAAAGTGCACAGGACAATTGCATGCACACGATTAAGGTTTCAACAGGTGGAAATGTACTTCAGCCCACTGTTTGGTGCGATTTTGAAAACTGCCCTGTGTCTCACACTGCGATACCTTCTCTCCACTCACGCAAGATCATGCTTTGTATCTGGTGGACTAGTCACCAAGTGGTGCACTATAAGCTTCTGCCAGTGAGCCAAACCGTTACGGCAGGCTTGTACTTGCAGCAGTTGGAACGTGTGCATCAGGCTCTGATTCATAAAGAGCATTGGTCAATCGCAAGAGTGTATTCCTCCTGCATGACAATGCGAAGCCACATGTGGCTCGAGAGGCCAGAGACACCATCCAGCGACTAGGCTGGGAGACACTACACCATTCACCATACTTCCCAACAGACTACCACCTTTTCCATTCCCTGGATAACCATCTTTGTAGGAAATCCTTCAACAACAGGCCAGACCTCGAAAAGGCTCTCACAGACTTCTTTGCATCCAAGGCTCCTGAGTTTTACCGCAATGGCATTGCACAGCTAGCCACTCGTTGCCAAAAGGCACTGGATGCTGATGGTGATTATTTTGACGATTAGCAGTGATTAATATTTGTTTTATGACTTTTTCTTTCTGACTGTCCAAAACGGCAAGAAATTTTTTGGTTAACTTGTATGTAACCCCCCCCCTCAGTTTAAGACCATAAAAATTACTGAAAGTAATTTTATTTTTAAAAAAACAATTTCTTTATTATTAATATTATTATTATATATTCCTTTGCTTCCAGCAGGGGTAAAAATTTTGATGCTTTAAAAAAAGGGGGGCGAGTTTTTAACTTCCTCGAAAAATGTTACTTTTTTTTTTTTAAATCTATAGTAATTTTTTCTCGTGAACTCAAATTTTTCCTTTGCATCTAATTGTACTTAAAAATATAATAGTTTTGTATTCAATAAATTTTGGTTAACTAATTCTCCATGTATGATTGTGTTTTAGATAATTATTTATAGGCAAACAACTTAGATTTATTATAAACATTAGAAAGGAAAATATGCAAATGAACTGCAAAATTCACTAACTTGGTCCCAAGCTGTGCCGATTATTGGATTTCTAGTATATCATGAATTTATACATTCTTCCTGTGCTTTGGCTTAGGAAAGAATTATGTACAAAGGGTACTACAGTCAAAAGTTGTTAATCCGGACTCGTTGGGACTTCGGCGATTCCGGATTATCGATTTTTCCGGATTATACATCATCAGTTTAAATCTCGTAAGATGGCATGCAGAAATTCCAAAATTAAAAATATGAAACCGTAATTTATGAAATAAAGAACAATTATGATCTAAAGGGTATCAAAATTTACAAAAAAAAAAAGCTTAATATTTATTTGTTTACTTTATTAAACATTTCTTTCAATGTGAGTTGTTTATGTTGCTTCATTTTACGTGATAATACTTTCTCTTTAATTCTATAAACAGACATAATTTCTTGTTCAGTTACAAAGTTCCGCTGTTCAAGTCCCATTAATTGCTGTGCCGAGAATACCGACTAACTTGTCAATCGAAATTTTTTCGTTTTCACTAACCTCTCTGTCACATTCTTCATGTCTTTATCCATTTTTTGCAGCAATTCCACTTTTTGTTTGTTGGACATCAAAACATACTTTCGTTTTCAGCATCAGAAATTCTATTTGACATAATCGAAAGTTCAAGTTTACTTTTATAAAATTGCTCTTACAGTCTGCAAAAAATAATAAGCGGGATCCAATTCGAAGATTAAGGAACAACGCAATCATTAACATTAAGTGAAATAGATAATTAGATAATTTTAGCTTACACCGTCCGTTATACATTAAACGCGCAGGCGAAAACGTATTCTGAACTTGTGCACACGCATATGCGCAGTAGTCAAGGTCTTACGCGCACGCGTAAAACGCCTGTGCGCATGTGCCAACGTGGCGCATGCGCAGAAAGTTTTTAGCTTTGAAGTCCGGATTATAGATCATTCCGGATTATGGGTGTCCAAATTAACGACTTTTGACTGTACATGATTTTCACAATCACCGAGACTAATCACCAAATTATGTAAGCCACATGAAATCATAATAGCTCTTTTTTTCAGTTTAACTTCTGTTTGCTAAATCTGACAAAAAAAGTGATATCATAATTCGGTAGTGTTCTGTTACCAGGACCAGATCCAGAACTGTATGTACGTATGTATGGATGGGTGGATGTGTTCATGTATATATGTAAGCATGAATATGTATGTGTGTGTATACATACACACCCACATACATTCATACATTTCTGAATCCAGTCCCAATAATAAAACAGTACTCATAATTATCTTTTTCCACCTTAAACATCTATGTAAAAAATGCTACTTTCACTTTCACCCTCAGTTTCTATTTGCCAAATTTGATGAACAAATTAATATCATAGTTGTCCTTTTGCAATTTAAACACTGTAAAAAAGTGTTGATAGTTTTTAATTTACTGAGAAGTGAGACGCTGTATCGTTTTCCAGGAAAAAGATCTATTACCTCGTAATCGAGTACGCATAAATGGCCACGAAATGAAATTATATGTTAACAAAAGTATGTGGAGGTGCAACATGAAAAGTTGCAAACAAAAAAACAGCATTTGATCTGACAACTGGTTTAGTGCTTCCAGAACAGTGCTGTGTTTCATCTACAGTTGGGCAATGGAACTAATGTCGCTTAAGTGCAAAATAGCTCAACATGTATTACCATGAAAATACTACAATTGACTGGGACAATTTTATGAGACAGGTTTGTTTACTAAAATTAATTTAACAACCTAAAGGATGAATAGATAAGCCTAAAAAAATAGTCGAAATTGAGAAAAGTTTGTTCATGCAATGAGAAAACACTGCTGGCCAGGTATTTCCACAACAGTGGATATTCGATGGGTTGTGCCATAAAAGTTGCAATTGCTTTCTTGTTCAGGTTCCAAATAAGGAAGCAAGCACACGGATATCGACAACTGTAACCCACGTAGTGGAAAGATGACAATATATTCAGATTGTTAGCGAGCCTAAAACAGAAGAGCTTAAAAAGGCTGCTTTGAGACATTTAACTGTGAATCACAAATTTAATTTTATTGATCCAACAATGGATACTCACACCCAAAATGTGAAAAGACTGTGGGAGCTCTGCTGCATGACAAAACAAAACAAAAAAAAAAAAAAATAAAAATAAAAATAAAAAACAAAGGGCTAGGACTCGACGTCATCTAGAGTTGTATCTTTTGGAATTCCTGTGAAAGAAATCTGGGAAAGATATGCCTTTTGATGCCATATTAAAAGCAATCATGGAGATAAGGCAGCCATAAACTACATGCATGTAGTTTAAACTTAGTTATAATCTTGGTGCCGTTTTGATAACGGGGAGCCTGAAAATCAAGTAATACCATACAAAGTATGAAATCTAGATGCCCAATAAGCAAAATGATCCATTATACAAACTGATTTGGAACTACTTTGATATGCGCCCTCAAGTCGCCAAATTTCTCGCCAAATATTTTTGGCGAGAAACTTCACGCTGCCATATTACTAACTAAATTTTTTGTCTTACATTTCGAACTTTAAGACTAAAATGTCTCCAAAAACATGGTTTTCGCACATGCAAAAACTACGTTTGAAACACACGATTTAAGCTAGAAATCCGAAACAAAAACAAAAAATTAGATAGCAAAAACATACAGTTTCTAACCAAAAATATTTGACAAGAATCTATGTACACAGCGAATATGTTTTAACTTAGAAAAAACATCTACGAATTGCACAATCTAGGCAACGAAATGAATCTATGAACTAAGCACACCCCGCTTTAATAAATTAACATAAACAACAATAAATTTCAAAGAATACCATGTACACAGCGTTCTGTTTCAACTTAAAAACATCTACGAATTGCACAATCTACACTAAAAACAAATCAAGAAAATAAACTAAAATAAATTTCAGACAATTCAAAAAACAACAATAAAAAAGGAAATTCATACAAAAAACAATGAATATAACATTCTACAAAATAAAAACAATAAAATAAAATGCACTTACCATAATGAAAGCTTCTTTTAAAAGCAGAAATATCTTTCCCCCTATCATACAGCGCATACAAAGTCCAAAATACATTCGTTAATAAAATTTCGCCAGTCACACAACGTCAGTGAAGAAAACTTCCACGATTTTGCTATATCACATGTCTTCCTACGATTCAAAATTTCGAAAGTAACAATAAAAACTTCCTCCAACGTTAACTTGCTACACGATAACCAAGATCCAAACCTTAAATTCCGCTGAAACCCACATACTTTATTAGCAACAATTTTACTGCAAACCCACACAAGTCTATCAGAAACACCTTTTTTCATCCGAGTTCTTGTATCAGCTCCGCATTTCGGACACATCAAACTCCTTTTTAAAAGTCCCGACTCCCACAGAAATTCCAAAAATACACTACGATCCCCATAAATACATCAGTGAACAAAAGACTCGTTAACAACTCCAACATCGTACCTTTTCATACTAAATTTACTCTGCACACAATCTAAAATACGCGGCTGAAACCTTCCCACCACGTCTTTCATCGCAACATAAAGGCCATTTCAAAAACACACGTGACACGAACCAACTAGCAATTTAAACTACTCCACCAAAAGACTTTTCAACGTCAACATGGTTGCCATACAAACACGCAATCGGCCAAAAACCAGCGCAAAACACATATCGCCACATTTGGTGAAATTACGGCGTTTATCAGAGTTGTACCACTGATTTTTCTCCTGATTACTCTTGCTGAGAACCACTATCCACAACAGTAATGAATGATCATGTTTCATCTTTAAAAACCTGGTGGCTAGAGAAGCACATTTTTTACACTTGCGTAGTTATGGGGAGCAGCATTCTTCTATCTTATTCAGCTCTGTACACAACAGATGAAACCCAAAGACCTATGTTCATAGGGGGTGGAATGTTGTACACAGATTTTCATTTACTAGCACAGCAGGAAAGAAATATTCCAATGAACTTAAGCTCAGCTAGCACTGTAAATTCCACTCTTTTTTTTTAACTTTCTGATCTGATCCAGCTTATTGTTTGATATATTATTATTAATGATATTTTATTAAAATAAAAATTTTAAAAAAAAGATAATATCTCCATTTTACTCTTTCCTTGAAAGCAATCTAGATTTACTCTTTTTACTATACATCCAACATTCAGCCACTGGATACTGGAATTTTGCACAAAATGAAATGCAAATATAAAGTAGCCTTTTGAAATTCGAAGTATCAGCACAATCACAAAATAATTCTCTTAAAATATTTTAATAGCATTGCAAGGTCATGAAAGAAAGTGTTTGCAAATATTTTTAACCTTTAGTATATTTTATAACTAGCTACAATGTTTCATGATGAGACAGCTGCAAATTTGAAGGCTTCATGACAGCACAAGTAAAAAAACAAAATCTTTATTAATGGAAGAGGAGGGGAAATTCATAATTAGATGTTGTGGCTCCATCAGGAAAAAAGCCAAACTAAACTAGTGATGCCTGGTGCTAAGGAAATATATTGGAAACAAAAAAAAAAAAAAAAAAAAAACCAAATGGTATGCCTTGAATGGAAGAACTGCAAAATTTTCCAAATAATAGAATATGAGAAGAAATGCTAAATGAAGAGGATATAATTGAAGTCTTCATTGTTATGACACTACCCAAATCATCAATCAAAAGTAATATGGTTTTAAATCCACAGAACATTAGCACCAAAAATGAAGAGAGTGATTAAAAGAGGTTTTTAAGAATGAAAAGACTACAACTGACTACTTAATGCAAATTCTCAAGATAGTAATCACAGGACTTGCATAATGGAACTTTGAACAGGATATTATGTCTTTTTATAAAATTAAAGAGAAGTATTAAAATAAAAAATAAAATTTTTTAAACTACTTATACTGAAAGAAAAGTTAAATAAAACAAAATAAATGCTAACACTGAGCTCTTTTTAAATGCTAATATTGAGTTCTTTTTGTAAATTTTGATTCCCTTAAGGACATAGATGCTTCACTATTTTACAAACAACCACTTAATAGTTTTAGTTTTATAATTCTATGTGTAACTTAATAAATTAGTTAATGATCTAAAATCCACAAATTTGAAATCCAATATCACCAAAGTTTTTATAATATTGGACTTGATTTTATACATCCTTCTTTGCAATCTCTTCAATATTCCTAAAATAATACAAATATATAATAGAAGTAGAAATAGAAATAAATAACCAACATGAAGTAGAAAGAATGTATGCAAAGGGAGACAAATTAGTTAACTTGGGTTGTTAAAGGTTCAAATTGTAGGAAATATATATATGACTGAGGTGTTTGGTAAACCAGAAAATGTTCATTTAATTAAATTTCCTAATTAGCTGAATCAAAGCAAAATGACAAGTCTTCAGTACCTGTCTACCAAAATGTTGAAAATCAGGTTTTTCTCACCTGCTATGGTTGATACAGAGGATTTATTTAATTGCTTACACTGATATATTTTTCTATAATGTAGTTTTTTCTAGATAATCAATCCCTCAATCTACTTAAATTGATATGATCAAACAAAATTGAGACATGGTAGGGTATGTGTGATTATCACAAAGCCTCGAGGGCTATCTGTCTAAGGGAAGGGATGCCTTCGTGGAGGACTTTCTTAGATAAACTGACTCGTATACACGTTACACATGGGGAAAACCACGAAAATGCCCATGCAGCCAGCCCGTTCGCGGGACTCGAACCTTGGACCGAACTACCAGTGTTCAGTGACTTTACCGCTCGGCTGCTGGTGGGCGAGACATGTTAGGGAAAAGGGTGAAATGTTTTGCATTTCTGCTATTTCTCTGTTATTTTAAAGGCTTTAAAAGTTATTAATATTTTGTGTTTCACTCTGTTTTTACACACTAGTTTTTAAATACTCCCTTAAGTTGATAATCATACATACCATCCAAAATGTTCAATGGCATCTAATATCCAATTGATGATTATTTCTTTCTGGCAGATAGCACTGAAGTGTGGTGATTTCCTGATCTTATTCACAAGCTCTATTTTTTCTTCAAATGGAAGATCTTCATGCAGCTTTGAAAGTACCACTGTAAATTCAAAGTCATAAAATGTAAATGTAATAAATCATTTTACAAGAGATAAGATATTTCAATTTTGAAACTAAAAAGTTAATTTTAAGCATTTAAACTCATTTTAAGTTTAAAATTTTTATTTTTAAGTTTAGATTCATAAATATTATACTTCATTTAAAATCAATCAAACATAACAATACAATTATTTACCAAATAAGAAAAGTGCTTGCATGTCAAAGGAGAAGAATTGGCTAACTCTGGCGATAATGTAATAAATAAGTTTTTTGTTATTTTGGGCGGAAAATGTTTGGCATTTGCTTCTAAAATAGCCTCAAAGGTTACCCTAATCTATATTCTGCCACCACATGAACTATGCTAAGTATGCCTTTAATGGTGCCTTGATGTTGCAACATTGCCAAGCACTCTTTAACTTATTCGAATAAAACTTTCCCTTCTTTTTCATTGGTTCAACAACCCAGGGTGGGCTCTGGCCTTCTCCAAGCATCTCTGCTTTTGGCAACTGTTTTCTACTTTTTGATGTTTAGAATGTTTAGGTCATTTTCAACAAAATAGATCCCTCTCACTGGGGATCTACCTTCATGTAGTTCTCATGGGCTTTGCCAAAATGATTTTATTACGACACTGATTGAATAAAACTTTATTTCATACAAACTGGAACACTGATGCAATATATTATACACTTGTAATAAAATAATAGCATCACCTTTGTTGTTTGGTAGATCTCACAGATTCATGATCAAACTATAAACTCCGAAAAACAAAGCCTCTGTCCTTAAAACTGCGAGTTATACGGACTCTTAAAACTTGGTGCATACAGTAGCAATAGCCATTAATTTGTTATGACGCCAAAGTTAGCAATTATTTGCTCTTTTTCGGCAAATTATAGGCTTCTTTCATTAACACATAAATAGCAAAAGGTTTTCATTAAAACAACTGAAAATTTGAAATGAATCTCAAAATTTTTGGTACTGGACTGTTATTAGGATGGTGCTGGCACTACATAAACTGAATTAAATAAGAATCTAACAGATTATCGTAAGTGTTGCATTGAAATTTATTCTGCATTTTGCATTGCCTTATTACCTTTCAACAGTTTGCGTATGATAACTAGTATAGAGATCAATAAAATTATATTTCTGGTTTATGAAGAAATGTTCAAATCTGACCTTTTTTTTATTCTTCAGTGCTGTAATGTTTACTACAGCCCGAGTATATTATAGTGTCATAATATTTTTCTCAATAACTTCAAGCAAAGTACTGGGAGAGTGGTTAGGCACAGCAACTAAAAAACATTCTTTTGTTTCTCTGCAAATCTCGCTGCATACCTACTATGATAATATTACCAGTGCTGCCTATTTTAACTGATGGTCTAAACCAAGGGTAGTCAATGAATATTCGCTTCAGCCTCCGTGGATGAAGGTAACTCTTCCGCTGCTCTCCTGGCGAGCCATGATTCTAAGTCGAACCATAATGCACTTCCTCCGGACAAATGCTTCTCCGACTGGAGTGTGCCTAATGATGACTACACTGATGATACTAGGACCACTACTGAATATGACCCTCTGATTCTGAACACGGACTCAACCCAAAAGAACAACTTTCTGAATTAAATCTGCAAAGCTAAATTATGGACTCAAAAATTAATTTGGCCAAGGAAATCAAAAGACAGTTCGATACGAGCAGACCAGTCACCGCTCCGGATAACTACACCAAGCTTATTGCAAAGACCATTCGAGAAAGCAGAATACAGAAGGATTACCTCATAGGTAAGCAAAATCTTTTAATTTCTCAGTGTGCTAAACCCTACCCCCTCAAAATCAGCTAGCAACATTAACTTGCAACATTTAAAAAGAAAACAACAAGATTAACTCTGATGATAATTTAACTCAAAATGATAGATTTATTAAACCCACTCGCGTAGCTAAAATGGGTAAAAAAGAATATGTCACAAAAAATCCGATAACCACAAGGTAATAAATTTGATATCCTAAATGCAGATAATGCCAAAAACAACTCTGATAATGAAAATATTCAAAACAGTCAACCCAAAGATTTTGAGGAACAAACACCTCCACCACCTAAGGAAAAATCTGTACCTCCTATAATGATAAAACCTTCAGAAAACATCTAACAAAATGTCTACTTAAAACAATTCGCCACTCAATCATCTACCAAATTTTACAGTAAAGTTAGAGGCGAATTTCTTAAAGTTTTTCCAAAAGCCTCTGACGACCACAGAACACTCACCACTTATCTTAAAAATCCCTCAGTTGAACATTATCTCATCAATGCACAACATAAAAAAACAATCAAAGTTGTAATTTGAGGACTAACTATCTACATAGACACCACAGAAATTAGTGACATCTTAAGAGAACAAGGATACAAAGTTCACAAAGTAGTTCAAATGACACGATTACGTCTACGCCAACCCATGGCCCTATTCCAAGTACAGCTTCTTCCCACACCCAATGTTGACTCTATCTATAATATCACACATTTCTCATTATTCATAGTTGAAATCCAAAGATACAAAAACAAAAATCTCATTCCACAGTACCACAACTGCCAAAAATGGCAACACTGTTCAGAAAATTGTTTTCTAGCCCCACGCTGTGTGAAATGCGCAGAAGGACACAAAACTTCACTATGCCCTAAAAAAGGTTTCCTAGAAAATCCTATCTGTGTAAACTGTAGTAATTCTCATCTCCCGTCTTATCGTGGTTGTTTAAAATTCCCCAAACCCAAAACTACTAATGCAAATCAACAAACAAAATTCTATTCGGAAGCAATATTAAGTAAACCACAAAATCGTAAGTCTCAGCAGCCAGAAATTAACTTAAGATAGTCTAAGCCTACTCCCACCAAATCCAAACCCATCATACTAAAAAATTTTCAAACAACTCCCCTTTGGCCTTCCTAGAATTTTTCAATGCAATTAAAGAACTTGAAGCAATTTTCGGCATTCAACTATCCAAATTAACACTACTCATCAACCAAAATCTAAATGAGTTAAGAAATGCAAACACAGTTATGGAAAAAATTTACATAATATTTCTAATGCTTGAAGAAGCAAATAACTCGAATTCTAATTAATTAAATATTCCAGCAAATAGTTAACTTATCAATTATCTCTTAATTATAAATCTTCAGTAATTTACTTAAACTTTTAATAACTCTCATCTTTCAGGTTAACCCCTTCCCTTACTTTCGGCTACCCTTTCAAAATTGTATGGCAATAAAAAGAGCTTCCCCCCCTTGCATACTGAGGAATTCTGGGCCACCTATCACCTCCCTCCTCCTTGGCACAAGACTGCTCTGACTCCTCCCCAATTTCAAGATCTCCAGCAATGGTCAATAGATGGTGCCAGATATGCTGCCCTTCCTAAGCTCTCTACCCAGCTACGCACTCAGCTATAGCTAACTTTCAAAAGTAATTACACTTGCCTACTTGGTGCTTATTTTTAGAACTCTCGTCAACAACATCGACTCATCTGTTCACCTTATTCTTGGACTTGCCCCTTACTTATCCAGCACTATGCTCATCAACATTCGGAAAATAGAAAAATGCTGTTCCACTGGGATAGGTTTTTAATCGGGAGACCATTAAACCCAGGAGTCACACAGTCAATCTTTTTATACCTACCGCCCATTTTGTAGGCAGTAAAATTTTGATACGCCTACCCCTTCAGAGTAGCTCATAGCTTAACTGCAAAGAAGTTTTTAAGAGAAAGTTTAATAAAAAATATATAGCTAAATGTATGCTATAATTTACAATATATTAAACTTTTAATAAATAAAAAATTCACGGTAATGTAAATATGCTGTGTAAATATATGGAAATAGAAGAGACTACTCGAAGGGGAATAGTCATATAGAAAATTAAACTTTAAGAGATGCGTGTAAATACCAAACAAATCCATGCATGTTTCGATCTTCCTTGACCATTATCGTGCACCTCCACTGCGAAAGCTTAAATTGCCTACTAGTTGGCAGTAGGGACCAAGCTGACTACTCCTGGTCTAGATATTACTGCATGTTCACAGACATCCCATATATAACTATTCCAATCAACAATAGTGCATTGATTTATATCAAGATGATACTGATAAAATTCAGTGGACTTCATTTCTAAATTAAATATATTTTCACTATGTATAAATTAAATGACTTGTTAAGAAACTGATTCTCAATCCTTCAAACCAATTTTAAGAACGCAATCCTTTTTCTTTCTCAGCACAGCATACCTTCACATCTCCATTTTGGTGCTTCCTTCAAATTGAAATAGAGCTTCATTTTATGGTTTTACGTGTACTTGCTTTCAGAGTGAATAGTTCCTAATTTTTTAAGAAATTGTATGAAAGGTATTTCATCATTCAAGTCCTAAATTTCTATATATATCTATGGTCAATACACAAGTGATTGTGCCATCTTTAGAATTCATAATCTACTTGTAAATTTTGAAAAGACATTCTTTTACATTTTTCAAAAAAAGTAAACATTGTCACAGTTTTAAAAGTAAATGGTAAAATCCTAGTATACGGTGCAGCCTTGGCGTGACTTTGAAAATTATCGCCAACATCAAAAATGATCCAAAGAACGTCTATATATATACTATACACACATATATACTATATACATAGTATATACTATGTTTAACTGTATATTTTCTTTGAATTAGCGGTTAACCAAATCCTGTGTGCACCGGATACTAGGATTAAACCAAAGTAAACATTTGCGACTTCATATGAACCAATCTCTTGGCGAGTTTAGCAAAATATTTGGCAATGACTTTGGTCCCTATAAATGAACAGTACCATATTTTTGGTTAAAGTGCAGAAATGCCCACTTATTATTATTATTATTATTATTATTATTTTTTTCGTTTGTTTAGCACTTTTTATAAGAGTATGAAGAATTGGATTTTTGTCAATTTTCTTTGACTTTTAGTGATAATAGGTCGATGTGTACATGGACAAAGTCAAGGCAGTACGCAATGCCATTTTTGTGCATTTCTGGGATGTTTTTTTAAGTGAAAATTGGTCGATGTGCACATGGATACCAAGTATGTGCAGTTCTTAAAAACGTGCCAAGCAGTGGGTGATTCTGCCCTTTCTCCAATTTTTTAACTAAAAGAAAACATTTCAAATGATTATTAAAATAAATTAAGTACTTTTCTGTTATTGGGCCTGGATTCAGAAATGTACGCATGTATATGTGTATACGTACACACATACATTTCTGACATGTATACATGAATATATGGGTACATATGTTTACATAAATATACATGTTTGTGCATATACATGTATGTACGCATATATATCTATATGCATATGTGTATACACACACATATGTATACATGCACTCATATATACATATTCTGAATCCACTGACGACAATAGAAAAGTATCATAAATTTACATATTGCCAGTAAATTGAACTAGATAATGACATTATTTCAAACTTCCTGTTTAATGCATTTGAAAGCAATTTTCAACAATTTTATTTTTATTTACATCAAAGACCTTGCTGCTGCTTTCAATTAATCATAAAATCTTACCCATTACGAATAAAGATCAGCTACATAATACAGCTTTATATAAATCAACAAATAATTCAATTTTATTACTATTATTATTATTGATAATCAATGGAATATTGATTATGCCGATCAATTGCCGGTATATATATTCGGCTTTCGATCCCTTTAAATCATCACTGATCGCCTTAAAAATTTCATCGGCCTCGGGGGGTTAATACTAACCCTGGTTAGCAATCCCCGACTTACACCATATTATACAATTATTATTAAAAAATGAATATTTAACATACCACGTGTTAAAGCCATGGTTTGTTTTGACACCGAAAGAATACACAAGAGGAAACAGATGCCAGATTTTACACACATTTTTCTCAAGAGCATGTTAGGTCAAAATTTTGGGTTAAATAATACTCCATTTTTTATTTTTAAGCTACAAATATTCATTTAGATATAACTTTTTTACATAAAAATAAAGCTAACAACCTGGATGTTCATTTCAAATGTTATTTTCATCATAGGGAATTACTTTTTTTCTAATCATAGGGTAAAAAGACTTAATTCAAAAGTGCAACGCAAGGGAAACGTGCGCGATGTTTTGCAAAGATTTCGTCTGTTTTGAAAAAGATGAAGACACGTAGCCGAAAGTTTAAGTAATAAAAAGTAGTATTGGATGCAAAAAAATCTTGATATGATTTCACAATTTGCTTTATTTCCACGTTGTCTAATATACTGGAAAAGGTTCAAATTATCACTTTCACTCACTCAAGTAAAATTTTTCAATGAAACTCGCCAACTAGACATTAAAGAAAATTTCAATCCATTTAGGAAAAAATTCGTATCAAAAAACCTGTTGGTAAACGAATCCAGAGTTGCAAATCGTGTGTGTTTGACTGTTATTGGGAATGGGGCTTACGGTCAGCCACGCTGTGTAGGTTTGTTTACTGATTTAAAAGGGTAAGTATTTTGCTGTATCAATAAATTTTCATATCTTTACATTTATGAAATATTACGTAAGATCTCAAGGAAATATATGCAGATTTTCAATATGCTTTTCATAGTGTAAAACTTGGGCAGAAAAAGTTAAGGATGAAGATCATCTTTATTTCTTTTTCACTTAATGATAGGTATTAAGAGAAAGTTTATATAGCATTCAGAAATTTTCATTACTTCATTTATCATTAAATCAAATAAAGCTAATTGTGCGTAAAACCAATCTGAAATCAGTTACTCGATTACTACAAAGTTTCTTCTACCAACACATAGAAATTCTCGGTTAAAGTGCAGAATCGCCCACTTATTTGTTTGGCACTTTTTACAAGAGTAAGAAGATTTCGATATTTGTCAATTTTCTTTGATTTTTTTAAAATGAAAATAGATGAAACGCCATATAAGGGGGCGCGCAAAGTGTTTGGGCTCTGCTAGTATCCAACCAATCGATGTGTACATGGATGCCGAGTATATGCAATTCTTAAAAATGCGGCAAGCAGTGGGTGATTCTGCACTTCCCCCCAAACTATCTCTTCACCGTCTGTGCATTCTAGGAGGAGCGTTCTTAAAGTGATTTAGCAATTGGTAATATTTTGATAACTCAGGTTTTACTAATTGAAAATATTTTTGATTAGATAAAAACTTTTTGGCAACATAGTGCTTTGCCTCATTAGTACTTTTTCATGGGCATGTGAATAATCAGAAAGTACTGAAAAGTTTTATGGCAGTCAAGTAGATAAATTTTAGGACTTCCATATTAAAGTGGCCATTGCAGTTAGCTGGCAAACTGAATTACCAAATTTGTAATAGTATACACTTTTTAAAACATCACAGAGTATATATATGGCATTAATAAGGAAATGCCCAAGATCTTAATGAACCACTCTTACAATTAGCCTTAATCATATTAATTAAGCTTAAAATATATATAATGTAATAATTTAAAAATCCATGAACCCTGCAGTATAGCATGTCAAAACTTTTGGGCTACATGCAGCCTTGGCTGATTTTTTTTTACAGTTTGTGATTCATTTCAAGAAAATGCTGGAGGTGATGAAGTGCTGCAGTTGTGGCCAAATAGGACACACAGCCAACTATTGAGGGTGTGTTAAATTCCTTGTAAATCAGGTTAGATCTGCTAAATTAAGTGTAATTGCTTTGTCATTTTTAACTGAATTCAAAATTTTATGCATCTTAATTAATCCTTCTATTTTCCCTTAATCAACTTATTAAAAAACAAGAACGGTTGATCTTTATTTTATGGTAACTTGGCGTTTTTTTGGCGAAAATTTGGCGACCAACTCTCCTACAGCAACCCTCTATATTTTTTTCCCACCGCCATTTTGTCTTCACGAAGTAAAGACATGTTTCTTTTCTTTGTATCTACTGAACACTTCTTCCAACAATCTACTAGCCGAATTACACTTATGCTAGAAATTTTATCTAACAAAACTGCTTAATCATGACAAATATTCACTGCAAAATTGGGAAAAAGTGCACAATACCATACTCCTTACGCGTTTTTCAAAATAACACATACACATAAACCATGTACACGCCGACTTATTTTTACTTAAAAAAACATCCCAGAATTACACAAAAATGGCATTGCGCACACTCTTCACTATATCCATGTACACTGCTTTTTTTCTCATAAATTAGAAAAATTTCACGAAAATACATGACAATTTTTCAATCTTTAAACCCGGTAAAAAGAACATATATGAAATTACCTGATCGCAAAAAAAGTATATACCCTTTCCAAATATGAACATTTCCACATATAAAAAAATAAAATATCCAAAAACTTTTACCTCTAAATCATCTATTATTATATACACGTCACCAACGAATTCATACCGCAAGCATTACAAATACTTAGTGTCAAATATTTAAATTATTTCCATGCACGTTTACTTCAACTAAACGTATACCAAATTCCTACAAACATAAAATTCACAAAATAACTATCATTTAATTAAAATATCACTAAACCATGTACACGTCGACTTATTTTTACTTAAAAAAATCCCAGATTGCACAAAAATGGCATTGCGCACACTCTTCACTATATCCATGTACACTGCTTTTTTCTCATAAATTAGAAAAATTTCACGAAAATGCATAATAATTTTCTGAATCTTTAAACCCGTAAAAGAACATATATGAAATTACCCTGATCGCGAAAAAGTATATACCATTTCCAAATATAACATTTCCCCGTATAAAATAAATAAAATATCCAAAAAACTTTACCTCTGCATTATCTATTATATTACAAACGTCACAACTAATTCATAACCGCAAACCATTACAAATGGTTACAAGACCTAGTATCAAATATTTAAATTATTTCCATGCACGTTTACACAAATTACTTAACTTCCACCTTACATTTAGAACAATGCATAAAATAACATCCTCAAATAATTAAAAATACTAACTTACCCATTCTTTTCAGAATCTTGATTACGTTCCGATAACTTTTCTTATTCTGTTTCAGGATCTTTAAAATCATACTTATAGTTCCAGCAGGGTACCAGGTAAAATAAATAACTTAAAACATCTTTACTTCTATCTTGCACACCTAAAGAAACACTTATTACTACCCATTTCAATCCCACTAAATACCCATTTCGAATTCACTTTAGTTAGGGCCATGGATCCAAAAATTAACGAACACTGTTCACACAACACAGAATAAAGCCAAATACAAAATTTCCAGATTTTTCCCGATTTCCCCGCTTTTCCGATTAAAGAACCGTAATTTGTCCGTTAGTATCACATGACATATCCCATGATCTCTCATTTCCCTCACACAAAATAATGCGTAATTGGAACTGAGTACTTCTCACATTATTACCAAAGTCCCAGGTAGTAACCTTTATTGCCTCCAAAATGTCGCCAAACTACCAGTTACCATATTCTAAAGATCAGCTAAAAGAACTTATATCTCTTTTAAGTTATCTTTGATACTAATTTGAAATTTTTTACTAGTTCTATGGAGGTAGGGCTAGGTGCCCTGGTGTCCTAACACTTATACAGGAGGTTCCAAGAAAATAACAAAAACATATACTATTACTAAAAATTGGGGGTAGAGTAGACTTTAAAGGTACTCCTTGTATTATGGCGAAGTTGTTGTTTCATTTATGGTAGCCTGAGTAGTTGAATGTTATGGAAACCCTATTGTGACGTAATTGGGTGCATGATTCTGGGAACTTTTGAAACATGGGATGCTTTGTAAGCGTTTTTGTGGTATGTGTTGGTTTTATTCTTTAGACGGTAGAATGGCCGAATGTAGTAAGATTAATTTGAAGTTTCTGTATGATTTGGAGCGAAAGGGAAAGAGCTTTATTGACTGATGTGTAAATGAAGGTTTACTTTAGCCATTATAAGTGTCCTGTATGTAGGAAGGATAGCGTCTAGTCGAACGTAAAACCATTTAGATGTATTGAAGGGTTTATAGAAGAAGGTCAGATGGTCACAATGTGAAGTGTTCGATCAGAAGAGTACCTGGTTTGAAAGTCATTTGAGTATGATTGTATTTGATTTTACGTGGCCTCTTGTCTACGAAGCGAACTCGAAAATCATGGTGATATTGCTTTGGTATGCTTAAATGTATAACAGTTTTTCCTTTTTTGTGTTATTTTATTGTTTGGTTCAAATGTTTTTATTGAGATTATGTATTTTTGTTTGCCTATATTGTCAAATTTGGTGCTCCTTGACTTTTTAATTGAAAATATATTGTTGATCTTTACGTTATGGTAACTTGGCGTTTTTTTGGCGAAAATTTGGCGACCAACTCTCCTACAGCAACCCTATATTTTTTTTTCCCGCCGCCATTTTGTCTTCACGAAGTAAAGACATGTTTCTTTTCTTTTTATCTACTGAACACTTCTTCCAACAATCTACTAGCCGAATTACACTTATGCTAGAAATTTTATCTAACAAAACTGCTTAATCATGACAAATATTCACTGCAAAATTGGGAAAAAGTGCACAATACCATACTCCTTACGCGTTTTTCAAAATAACACATACACATAAACCATGTACACGCCGACTTATTTTTACTTAAAAAAACATCCCAGAATTGCACAAAATGGCATTGCGCACACTCTTCACTATATCCATGTACACTGCTTTTTTCTCATAAATTAGAAAAATTTCACGAAAATACATGACAATTTTCTCAATCTTTAAACCCGGTAAAAAGAACATATATGAAATTACCTGATCGCGAAAAAGTATTTACCCTTTCCAAATATGAACATTTCCACATATAAATAAATAAAATATCCAAAAACTTTTACCTCTAAATCATCTATTACATTATACACGTCACCAACGAATTCATACCGCAAGCATTACAAATACTTAGTATCAAATATTTAAATTATTTCCATGCACGTTTACTTCAACTTAAACGTGTACCAAATTCCTACAAACATAAAATTCACAAAATAACTATCATTTAATTAAAATATCACTAAACCATGTACACGTCGACTTATTTTTACTTAAAAAAAACATCCCAGAATTGCACAAAAAATGGCATTGCGCACACTCTTCACTATATCCATGTACACTGCTTTTTTCTCATAAATTAGAAAAATTTCACGAAAATACATGACAATTTTCTCAATCTTTAAACCCGGTAAAAAGAACATATATGAAATTACCTGATCGCGGAAAAAGTAATGAACATTTCCACATATAAAATAAATAAAATATCCAAAAACTTTTACCTCTAAATCATCTATTACATTATACACGTCACCAACGAATTCATACCGCAACCATTACAAATACTTAGTGTCAGATATTTAAATTATTTCCATGCACGTTTACTTCAACTAAAACGTATACCAAATTCCTACAAACATAAAATTCACAAAAATAACTATCATTTAATTAAAAATATAATTAAATTCAAAAACACTACTTAAAATATAAATGAGCACATACATTAAATTAATACATACATAAATACCCATTTCGAATTCACTTTAGTTACGGCCATGGGATCCAAAAATTCACGAACACTGTTTCACACAACACAGAATAAAGCCAAATACAAAATTTCCAGATTTTTTCCCGATTTCCCCCCCTTTTCCGATTAAAGAACCGTAATTCGTCCATTAATATCACATGACATATCCCATGATCTCTCATTTCCCTCACACAAAATAATGCGTAATCGGAACTGAGTACTGCTCACATTATTACCAAAGTGCCAGGTAGTAACCTTTATCGCCTCCAAAATGTCGCCAAACTACCAGTTACTATATTGTAAAGATCAACCAATATATCGATGTGTACATGGACAAAGTAAAGGGAGTGTGCAATTCTGGGATATTTTTTTTAAGTGAAAATAGGTCGACGTGTACATGGATAAAGTTAAAAGAATGTGCAATGCCAGTTTTGTGCAGTTCGGGGATTTTTTTTTTTAGTGAAAATAAGTCGATGTGTACATGGATACCGAATTTGTGCAAGTGTTTGTCTTTTTATTTTGGCTCTGTGTAGAAAAATCGCCGCTTCGCAAGCCAAAATAATGAGTCAGAGAATTGCACAAAATCGGTATCCATGTACCACCAAAAATCACCAAGTTTCACCAAGGGGTACCTTAAACTATACTTTTACCAAAATTGGAATTCCACTCAATATATAGGCATTTATGCAATCTCGTTAATTTTTTTTAGTTTCAGAAAATATGAATTTGATATTTTATTATCTCTAATTATTTTCATCTAATTTGTTTCAGTTACTTATTCAATTGTGGTGAAGGTGTTGGAAGACTATGTAGAGAATATGAGTAAGTTCAGTACTTTTTTTTACACCTAGAATTTCTTTCAAACTTGAAATGGTAAATAACTTATTATGATATTTGAATAATTTTTCTGTTTTCAGTACAGTTTTTAACTTGAGCACACAATTTAATATTTGGTAATTATTTTGCCATCATGATGTCAAATCATAAATGTATTAATTTTGTAATGATATTATATGATAATGATATTATATTTGGTACTTTGGTATTATCACAACCACCGTGACGAAATTTAGTGATTTTTTGAAGAAGAATGGTAATTTTAAATTAGAGAAAGGGTACAACTCTGATATACGCCCTAATTTCACCAAATGAGGCGAAATGTGTTCTGCGCTGGTTTTTGGTGCGATTGCGTGTTGTATGGCAACCCTGTTGATGTTGAAAAATCTTTCGCTGGTTCGCGTCATGCTCTGTGTCTGAGAAGATAGGGGGAAAAGATAAAATGGGGAAATTGTTGAATTGAAGTTCGGCAAAAGGAAATTCCATCGTGGCCATCCTGTTGAGGGACAGTGGGTATTATTTTTAATGGCTGTGCATAATAGAATTAGGGATAATAGAAGTAGGGATTTGTGATTTTATTTATTTGTGAACCATAGTATGAATTTTCTGGATAGTGTGTCTGGCTGTTATATAAATAGGTACAACTCTGATAAACACTCTAATTTCACCAAATGTGGCAATATGTGTTTTGTGCTGGTTTTTGGCGCGACTGCATGTTGTATGGCAACCATGTCGACGTTGAAAAATCTTTTGGTAGAGTAGTTTAATTGCTAGTTGGTTCGTGTCGCGTGTGTTTTTGAAATGGCCTTATGTTGCGAATGATAGACGTGGTGGCAAGATTTCAGTCGAGATTCAGTTAATTTAATACTAAATTTTCTTTCCCCCACAATCTAAAATAGATTGTAGGGGAAGTAAATTTAGTATTAAAAGGTACGATGTTGGAGTTGTTTACGAGTCTTTTGATCACGGGTATGTATTTATGAGGATTGTAAGGGTATTTTTGGAATTTTCTGTGGGAGTCGGACTTTAAAAACGAGTTGACGTGTCCGAACGGAGCTGGAGCTGATATGAGAACTCGGACGAAAAAAAGGTGTTTTCTGATGACTTGTGTGGGTTTGCAGTAAAATTGTTGCTAATAAAGTATGTGGGTGTCAGCGGAGTTTAAGGTTTGGATCTTGGTTTTCGTGTAGCAAGTTAACGTTGGAGGAAGTTTTTATTGTTACTTTTGAAATTTTGAATTGTAGGAAGGCATGTGATATAGCAAAATCATGGAAGTTTTCTTCACAGACATTGTGTGACTGGCGAAATTTTATTAACGAATGTATTTTGGACTTTGTATCTGAGAAGATAGGGGAAAGATATTTCTGCTTTTAAAAGAAGCTTTAATTATGGTAAGTGCATCTTATTTTATTGTTTTTATTTTGTAGAATGTTATATTCATTGTTTTTTGTATGAATTTCTGTTTTTATTATTGTTTTTTGAATTGTCTGAAATTTATTTTAGTTTATTTTCTTGATTTGTTTTTAGTGTAGATTGTGCAATTCGTAGATGTTTTTTAAAGTTGAAACAGAACGCTGTGTACATGGTATTCTTTGAAATTTATTGTTGTTATGTTAATTTATTAAAGCGGGGTGTGCATAGTTCATAGATTCATTCGTTGCCTACAGTGTGCCATTCGTAGATGTTTTTTTAAGTTAAAACATGTCGCTGTGTACATGGATTCTTCTCAAATATTTTTGGTTAGAAACTTTATGTTTTTGCTATCTAAATTTTTTGTTTTTGTTTTGGATTTTTAGCTTAAATCGTGTGTTCAAAACGTAGTTTTTGCATGTGCGAAAACCGCGTTTTTGGAGACATTTTAGGCTTTAAGTTTGAAATCTAGACAAAACATTTAGATAGTTATATGGCAGCGTGGAGTTTGGCATTTGGTGACTTGAGGGCGTATATCAGAGTAGTTCCAGAGAAAGTTATTTATTTCTTATCATACATGTTATTAGGTACATATTTTAATTTTAGTTCATATTTATCCCAGAAAAAATTTTTATAAAACTATTTACAAATGGTATTCCAGTCTACCACAGTATTGCCGGCCATTTCTGACTCTTATAATCAAACTTTAACACTTGTTAATTCTTTACTGCAGCAGAATATAAATCTGATTGTTGTAGTAAAGGGCCCCCCGGGGGAAAGCGATTGGAATACGATTAGAAATGCGATTTCATGATAATTAGTGCTTAAAAATCGCAATTTACGAATACTGATTCTTTGTCTTTGATTTCTAGTGCTTTCCCAGGGCTCGGGTACCTTGGCGTAGTCGGGGGGCTCCCTCTTTATAGAGGGTCAAAATCCTGAGCCTTACGAGCCGACTACTTCTGACTGACTTGGTGTGAACCCCAGGGTACCAAGTCAGTCTTACCCTGGCATTTGGACATTATTTTCTTGGCTTATCTTAGTGATTAATCATAATGGATCCAAAAGACATTCTTAAAGAACGTCAGGCCTATGTGGCCAACCTCGAAACTATTCTTAAAAATAAGGCCAGTGGACTAAATAAAAATGTGGCCGCAGACATTAGACATCAGTTTCAACTGATGTTTAACTTATTAACAGAACAATGTGTTGAAATGACCCAGTTAGAAGGCCAACTTCAAGCCTCAGTCAATAACACTCAAGTCAAAGACTCATACGCAGACGTTTTAAAACGCCCAAAACGAGATCGTTCTCGGTCTAGAAAAAGACCAGACAAACAATATATCACCATCCTCTATCCCACAAAGGATGGGGACAAAACAGACTCGATAAAGAAAAAAGTACTAAAGTCAATCGATCCCTCTAAACTCCAGATTGGAGTTAAACAAGTCTCGAAAGGAGGACTTCTCATAAAGACGAACAAAGAAACCGATCGAGATAAAAAAAATAGCTCGTACCAGAAAAAAGAGGACTTGTCAGACCATTAAAACGGTCTCCAAGAATCATTATTTATGATATCCCAAAGGATATCACAAAAGAAGAGTTATTAACATCATTAAAGGCTCAAAATGAAGAACTTGACGGGGAAGGTTTAGTAGGTTAAATTCCCCATTAAACAAAAGCATAAAAACCACTGGGTATGCGAGGCCACTCCAGAATTATTCAAACAACTCCTAAAAATTAAAAAAGTATGTATTAACTGGGAACGATTTAGCATCAAAGAATATTTAAGACCTACACAATGCTTTAAATGCTGCCAATTTAGGCACATCTCAAAGCAATGTCAGACGGAAGAAGCATGTGGTCATTGTGGTGAGGTGGGCCACTCTCACAAAGACTGCGATAGCTCAACTCTCAAATGTATTAATTGTGCGGAACGAAACGCCAACAACGAGCAACAATATGACGAAGGACATTCAAGCTTCGATAAAAATTGTCCATGCCGCATCTTAGAGATAGACGAACTTAAGAAACGCATAAATCATGGATAATTTACCTCAAAAGAACTATTTAAGAGCACTACAAATTAATTTAGCACGCTCTCATGTTGCAACCGCACAACTTAAAGTGCACATTTTTGACTATGATCTGGTCTTCGTGCAAGAACCATACTGTATTGACATTGACAACAAACCAGTTGGTTTTCCCATTACAAACTAAAGTCATTTCAACAACCGACGGACTACCAAAGACGGCCACTGTGGTCGTAAATCCTAACCTCACGGTTCTTAACACGCTGCTGACCACTCCAACTTTGAATATTATAAAACTGAAATTTGAACAAAGATCATTAACGATCTTTAACTGTTATAGCCCACCAATCACGGACCTTACAGACTTAACTTCTCTCCTAGACTTAGTCGATAGAAATCTCTATCGGATAATACAGACAATATTATCCTGGGTGATCTTAACGCTAAAAGTGAAATATGGGGTTCTCCATTTGAAGACCCTAGAGGCAGAATGGTCAGAGAATTTCTGATTTCTAGACAATTTATTATTGAAAATGACCCAAATTGTCCCCCAACATATAACTGTTCCAGAGGAAAGAGCTGGATAGACTTTTAACAGTAAGCCAAGGAAATATTATTCATGATTGGCGAGTTTGGATGATTCATCGCTCAGCGATCATTGCTATGTATCTTTTGAAATTTCTAGTGACAAAAGCACAGATCAGATTATACGAAGGAAGTATAAACTGAACAAGATGGATTGGCTCACACTTAAGGAAAAGCTCAGTAGTTATTTTTCAACCATTAATCCTCAATATGTGAAAGATACTGTTGACTTAAACGCCTTAATAAAAACTTGGACCCAAAAGATCCAAGATATCTGCGACCAAGCAATAAAAGCAAAGGGAAAATTCCTCAACGTACAGCACAAAGGAGTCCCTTGGTGGACTCAATCGCTTAACATCATGAGGAAAAGAATTCTAGCTGAAAGAAAACGCTATCAGCGTTGTACTCAAGACGACAACTTAAGAGCTTATTATAAGACTATTTATAAGAAAGACTTAGCCAAATATAAACGAGAAATCCTCCGTTCCAAAAGAACGTGTTGGAAAAATCACTTAGAAAGCATAGATCCAAAATCTCCATTCGGCATTCATTATGATCTGGCAAAAGGAAATATTTCCTTGCCTTTTCAAATCAAAGCGCTTCTTAAACCTGATAATTCTATGACTGAAACCATTGATGAGACTCTAAAATTGTTGCTTGTTGGAGCACCACTTCCCAGCTGATGACCGGAGCACAGATTCAATAGAACATAGTCAAATTAGAACTCAAATTAAGACCCGATTTGGTGCTAAACAATATCTTCCGTTCACCAGACAGGAAGTTGAATTCACGATTAAATCACTTAATTCTGGTAAAGCTCCTGGCTTGGATAACCTTCCTAAAGAAATAATTCTTAGAAGCATTTTACGCCAACCCAACAGTACACACGGCATTATTCAATGAACTTCTTAGACGCGGTATCTTTCCTGAATGCTGGAAAACCGCTAAACTAGTTCT